TGAATATTGTTGTGACAATCCCTTGAACTATCAGTTGTCAGGAATATTACTCAGTCTACATACATTGTTCTCAGTTTTGTCACCTGCAGTGCTAAATGCCAAGGGAAAACTGAAGGAGGGGATTTAGTGTGATGCTTGTATAGTAAATGTTTCTTAGAACATATGGTGTAAACTGACAACCCCAAAATACTTTTTAATTAAAGGTACTACCAGTTGAATGCTGAAAGTTCAATTTAAATAGGGGAGAAAGAGCCAGGTGTCAGGTGAAACTAAATATCCTAAGCAGGAAAGGAAAGCAAAATCAAAGGCATTTGCATAACAAAACAAGACTATTTGCAGAGTTTCATTTGTGTTCTCACTGACACAGCAGGGGTGTACAGAGATAACACTGAACTGAGTGCTAGGAAGAAACTGAAGGAGGGCACCAGAATCTATTTTGAAAGTCCATTTGTATTAGAAGGGTTCCTAAGAAAACAACTCTAGAAGAGAAGTCAAGGAAGGAAGTTGGTGCTGAGAGTGATATCAAGGGTGGAGTGAAAGGTGTGTGCTGGAAATATGCCCTCAGCATGCTCTGCTGGAAGAGAAGCCCTAGGTTTGAACCCTGTGTTGCAGTTAGAAAAATAACATGTCCATATACCTGCTTGGGTACCTGCTGAGGCCTTTAACACTTCAAAAGTAAGTCAGATGTGGTGTTATACCACAAGGTGTCCAGTATGCCAAAGCAAAACCGAGACCCTCTCTGAAAAAAAACTCTTATTTGATATTCTATGATATATTATTGCCCCATCATTGGAAGTGTTCAAAGCCCCATCAGGTCAGATGGTAACCTGATCTACTGAAAGATGTCCCTGCCCATGGCAAGGTGGTTGGACTAGATGATCTTTAAAGGTCCTTTCCAACCCAAACCATTCTATGATTGTATTTCTATTTTCAAAATAGGACACAGACTTGGAATCAACCTACCTAATTTAGGCTTGTAACTGCAGGATCTGTATTATAACTCTTGTTCTGCTACTCCTATGTTCAATGGAGAGAAGGGCAGGGAGAAATTCAGTCTATATATTATTTGAGTCACATTTTGGAGTTGCTTATCTTTCTACTGGTTGGAGGGGGAATGCAGGGATCTCTCTCCTGACTATTGAGAGTATAATTGCCTCCTGTACTCAAATGCCAAAGTGAAATGAATCCAAACCAGAAAATGCATGGAGCTGATGCCCAGCATAGGTTTCACTGCAAAGAGAAAACAGTATTTTAGAGAAAAAAGACTGGAAGAAAACAGGAGATGAACATTTTGAAGCTTGGGGGTATTCTGATCCATATTTTAAGCTGAACTTTTTAGGTAAAGCCATAATTAGCACATCTTGTGAGCTTGGAAAGTGAGCTAGCAATTGGACTAGTCAGACTGAAGTGATTTTCAAAAGTCAGCTCTTGGTCTATATTTCTGAATTTTTGTAACATCTTTCTGCCCTATATAGGGGTATCTTTTTGACAGTATCCAATTCCTGTGTGTGAGGCTGAATGGCTTTTATTAAATATGAAGAAATAGAACTGGAATCAAAAAAGCAGAGTGAAAAGATTGCAGCAGCAGTATGGAGCCAACTTATTGCCCTCATGATGGAAGAATGGTTCTCTAATTGTTCGTGAAAGCTAATGGAAACCGTATTTTGGCTGTAAATAATTCTCAAGAGGGACCATTGTGAAGTCTTACCTCATCTCGTACTTTACTGCTAGAACATACCGAGTAGTCAAAAGCAGACACACCCCATAAAGCTCAAAGTGCAGAAAGCCACTGGTCAGTTTTAGATGCTAGAGGAAGACGGGACTCTTTGGGGCGAGTGAGCTTTGCTGGCACATCCCTGACCTGTCAGGTGCAGATTGACCTTCATTAGGGCATGTCAGTTGTGGGAGGAGTGGATAACGGGCAGAGGGTAAAGGTGGTGATGACAGAATCCAGGAGCCAGCTAATAAAGACTTTTTTGCCCACAAGGCACCACAATATTGTGCTCAACAGTGTTGAGAGAAGAGGGCGTTTACAAATTTACTCTGGTCAACATCATCTATTTCTGAGTTACCTGTAACTAAAAATTGAAAATGCCACTTCTTGCATTTTGTCCATGGAACCTTTGAGTGTTATATATTTTGGTCCCTAAGACTTTTATTGCAGCCTTTCCTAACAACCACCCAATCAAAGTTGCTATTTTAAATGTTAAATTTGATCTACCTTTTGTCTTTCCATGATGTGTGTTATCATTCTTGCACTGGATGGGGCACTACCAGCAGGACACAAAGCAACAGGATTTCCAGTTGTGGTATTTGACAGTGACATCACCCATTTTTGTCTTGCATTGGCCTTTGTCTACTTTTCTTTCCAAGGTCCCTTGAATAGGTAGTCATTAACCTATGATTAATTAAGGGAGTGGCCAACCTGAGTCTTGTGCAGTGTATTGGCTCCAGTGGAAAACCATCACAGTCATTATAGTGGTGCTTACAGAGCTTGGGGTCCAACAGCCTTTTATGGTTGGTTAGGGTTTTTTATAATGTTAATAACAGAATCGGGGTAAACATCACCATACACAGATCCTTCAGCTCATTGCAATCCCAAAAAATGTGGCATATTGGTAATGTACCTCAAATTGGGATTTTTGTAACTTCCATGGTATTTTTCACTAGGGAGTTAGTCACTGTGATCAGCATTTGTTCTGGAGCACCATTTGTCAGAAATGTATATACTCTAATATTTTGGGGAGAGGGCTTTGCTTGTTGAAAGTGTTGCTAAAGTGATTTTGAGTAATCTCACAAATGAACTACACAGAACCCATTTCAGATGTAAGGAAAGATGTCAGTGTAAATAAGCAGGAAAGGGATCCCGACATGTTCTTCGATGGTTTATGCCTATTAAGTCTATTGTATATCTTACAGTTAGTTTTAATAATTTACATTATCAGCTGATGAGACAGTAACCCTGCTAATACTTCCTTAAGACAGTCATCTTTTTCCCTTGGAGGCTAGAAAAGCTTTTTCTGAAGTGTCATCGGAGCCTTTCTTAAGGGCTTCCATAACACCCATCAGCTGTGACTCACTGTGTTTCTGCAGGTCCTTAAAAAAATAGTGTTATAAAACTTGCCTGTTGATACCAGCTAAGCAGGTGGTGAGCTATATTGTGTGCTCTATTAGTCTACACAAAAACAGGCTCATATTACTGTCACCTCCTCCCCGTTCCCTTCCCACCTGTTTGGCTCATCTGCCTCGTTCTGCCTCATCTTAGGACTTGTCATTAGCCTGCCTTGTAAATTCTTTGTGGCAGAAACTTTTTCACTAGATGTGTGTGTGTGTATATTTATATATATAGTACCTACTGTGGTAGAGCCTGGATCCTTGACTGAAGAGTATGGGCACAATTCCAATAGGGATAATAACACTAATATCGCAAGGCTCTTTCTCACACATTTCCTGTAGACAAGAAGCTCTGACACAGAAACAGCTCCCTCTTGTTTTAAGAGATGTTAGTTTTGACAAAAGATAGTTAGATTCAAAAAAACCAATATATTATAGATTTCACCCAATCTTTCAGTAATAAACACAAAAAAAACCCCAGTACCGTGAAGTGCTCAGCTATGCCTTTGTGCTCTGGTCTTGTGCCATGAGTAAAGCAATGTTGTAGAGGCCCATTCCCCAAGCATAAAACACATTCTGCATTTTTGTTGTATAATTCTTTAATTTTCTTCACGTAGAAAAATCTTAATTTTGTGCTTAAAACATTTAAGATTGAGTGACCTCTGTTCCTGTAAATTGTCGTAGCTCTTGTTCTGCTATAGAGGTATGCTAACTTCTATCTACCTATGGACAGAGACGAAATTTTGTTTTACTGAAAATGCAGATTACAGTAGTACATATTCCATTATGATGGGCATTTTATAGATACATAATGAGGAGATTTTCCCCACTTCAGGAAGAGCTAGCCTATGCAAATATACAGCCCGGGCATGTGATAGCTGTGGTGTTCTAGTCTGAAATAAATTTGGCCAAAGGACTTAAGTCATTTAAGAAAAAGGAAAAAAATATTCCAAATGATGAGTAAGTATCATAACGGGGGCTAAAATAATGCCATACACCTACTTCATTATTCAGTTACTTATTTATTATCTTTATTCTTAAGAGTAATGATATAAAAATGTTTTTTTCCAAATGTTAATTTAGTTCTCTGCAGATGGTAACCATCTGTTAAATGACAAGTCATTTACAGTATTTGATTAGCACTTCGTATAGCTTGGATGGACTTTTTGTAACAATATGTAAGTATAGTTATGGAGGTGAAACTTGTTAAATTTGTTCTTTTCCTGTTGCTGTTACCAAAAACATTGAAATTTGCAAACCTATCAATATTTTTGCCTGTTCTCTCCTATATTTATACATATTATTTTATGTTAAAGCCTGATGTTCATAGGCCAGTTAACAAGATGTTCTTGAGAGGATGACAATGCTAGGAAATACAAATTCCAACACCACTTGTAGCAATTATGAGCATCCTCATTCTACAATGTCTCCATGTGGAGGGACTCCTATGGGTGCTCAAGGGAAGCAGTGGAAGCTGGAATGAATCTAAGAATCATGGCCTGTCAAGTAGAAAACTCCCTCAGGGCGGCGATACTGCTTTGTATACTGATAGCAGTTTATACTGTGGATCTCTTTTTTTTTTCTTTTTAAAACTAGAAAAAATTAAATATTGCAATACACCTTAATATTACCATCATAAAGTGATCTTCTTGCATGAACTGCACACTTTTGTGTTTTAATACCTTGATCAATGACAATTTACCCCATCTGTCCATAAACTAAGCAAGTTCTGATTAAATTAATCTTGTGTTTTCTTCAAGTTATGCTGCTAAACCTTAATTTGCTGGCCCTGTTTTCATTGCTGTAAAATTACTTTATGCTTTTATTTCTGTGTTTTTTAATAAAATTCATTAGGTATTTTGATATGTCTTTTTTATTTTCAACAGGTGAAAGGCTTGGTAATGGCCCCACTACCAAATGCTGAATTAGTTCAGAACTCTTTGCAGTTATATCGTTACCTGCTTCGATGCTGTAAGCAACTTCCTGAAGAGAACATTCGTCAGCATTACAGACATGCAGTTAGGCAGGTGAGAAACAATTTCTTTTCTGTTGGTGGAATTCATAGGGGTTTTTGTTTATGGTTTTCTCCTCCTACAGTTTGGACCAACTCTTTATAACTCCTGGCACTTTAAAAATATTTTTCTGCAAGCTTGAAACATTACTGCATTTGAAGGATTATATTGGGAGTATGTGAAGGAGCATGTCTTTTTTTTTTTTTTTTTTGCTTTGAATCTGAAACCTATTTTCATTGGCTTTTATCTCTAATTTTTGTGTTAGTCAAGAGAGTGAACAATCGTTCCTTACTCACCTAAACACATCTCTTGCAGTGAAACTTACTGGTTCCTTGTCAGTAATTTTTAAATACCTATATCCTGCATCCGAACCTCCCCAGCTGGGTAAATCTCACCTAATTGTTCATATGGAGGTAATTTCATGCCTTTGATAATATACCTCTTGTCCTGTGTCTTTCTAGTCTTAACATGCCAGACAATTTCACTTCTTGTTCTGAATTTAAGGTCTCTGGGGTTTTTTTGCTGATCATGTATGAAAGGAGTAAAACACTTAATATGAAATTACATTTGACAAGGCTTGTTATGGAAATAGCACAGCCAGGTGCTACGATGTATATTTTTACTTTTTCAGATCAACAGTTTGTTTGCATAAAAAATTTTTTTGAGATTTAAGTGATCCTTATTTTGACAACTGTTACGTTAAGTTGGCCAGTCAGTGTAACACTTTGACTGAATGTTGCAGAGTTTCAAAGTTCATGCCGATGAAGATAGTCCTGAGCGAATCCAGCAGATTATTAAGAGAGCCATTGAAGATGCTGACTGGGTCATGAACAAAGTGAGTGCATCAGATTGGCTTAAGTTTTGCTCTCTCTCAGTTCAGAGCGAAGCAGAAAACATCAGAAAGCAAATTGGGAAGAGCAAACTGTTGTCTTGGACATTGAAGTGTCTGGGTGACAGGAGATGCCAAGCGCCTAGGGATTTAGGTTTGTGATAGTTCTTGTTTAAAAATTCTTCTTTGATATAAACTTAAGTGTATTTTTTTAGAAACAAGGATGCTTTAAGTTGGTCTCTGCATAAATCTTTGTTTCCATGAAGAATTATATTAAATTTCAGCAATGGTGGCTAGTATGACTTTAATATGGAGAGAAAAAAACTACGATATTTTGCAAGCTATGGTTTGTTGATATGTACGTAAAGTCCCAGAACCATTTTTTTTTCTCTCCCCCTCCTCAGATCTTGCCTGTGCCTGCTCAAATCGGGGTTAGTCAGTGTAGTGACAAAATTGTGGTAACTGGTTTACTTGTGCCATAGTTATCACCCAGTGGATATGCCTCTTTACTATCACAGCACTGAAAGATACCACTCAAACTGGTTTCTTAAATAAAAGAATGAAGATTGTTTACTGTTAGACAGCTGAGAGTCACCTGGATGTCCTTGGATTTAAATCTGGTTGGGGAGCACGATATGTTAACATGGATTTCTCGGAGTATAATGAAACAAGTCAAAAGTTCAGCTTGCTCTAAATATCTATGATTTAATTTACTAAATGACTGTTAAGTCCTTCTCTCTGTCAGCCCATGAAATCCAAATGAGAAATGTTACAGGAGCAAGCACAGATTAGTCATAGATTATAAAATTATAGCAGTAGCCAAATCCCAGCAGTTACAGCCTAGCAAATAACTGCCTGTGCCTGAATCTGATTTTATTCTCCCTACAATTATGAAAAGCCTCATCCTGATTCTGCTACAGAGATTGTAGTCTGCCTCATTGGAAAACTGGTAATTGAACTGTGTGAGAGGAGGATCGGATTCACAGTGTCTGCCAAGAAGCATTATTTTATACTGTAGAGGGAAAGCCTATCAAATTTCAATCTAACTTAAGGGAAACTGGGATAATTTTATGTAGATAATGAAGAGGTTTGTAAATCCTTGTCAGTATGAACTGTTACTTTTAGTTATGTGCTCTTTCCCATAAATAATTGTTTGTGTTTTTCTTTTTTTTTTTTAGTATAAAAAACAGAAGTAGAAGAAGAATGATGAAGACAAGAATATCATTGGTAAACATCCTTAGAGGATTTTAGTGAAGCTCAGTACTATACTATAGTTATTGCCTGGAATTTTCTCTTAGATAATACAAATACAATAACTTGTATCTCATTGGGATGTCATGAAGCTAAATTAATATTTCTGAAGCTCTTTGAGTCTGTTAGATTCAAAGGCACAGTCTAGGTTCAAAGTATTAGCTTGTGTAATCACAAACTTTAGCTTAAAGCCCAAACTTGTCCAAGATTTGAGTAACAGAGAGAGCTTCTCAGGAAAACTTACTGGAATAAAAATGTAATGGAGTACAAGTCATTAACAAATAATTAGTGCCCTGTCTGTGGTTCATATCTGAATTAGTGTCTCATCTGAAGGATATCTGAGCGTAAAGGTCTGTACTGGGAGCCCACGAACCTGAGAGATGCTCACTGAGGGTCAGAGCAAATTTCTCTGCACTTGATTGTAGACCAGATTATACTGTTAGGTCTAGATCCTGAATTAGGGTAGTCAGTCTGTTATGTCAGATCATCCTCTATCTGGACCATAAATATGTTTCCAGAGTGAAGCAGAGGTATGACCAGAGCACAGGTCTGGTTTTAATCTAGTAGCAGACACAGAAGCATGGGCTACTCAGTGGAGAACATACCCGCAAGAACTTTACACTGATTGGAAACTTTAATCACAGTATTTTCCACTTAGCTGTCTACGCTATGGCCATATCTTCATTCTACATGTAGGTTTGCACTTCAACTAATGGGTGCCTTTGCTTATTTAAAGATAGGTGCCTGTCACCCTAATCATGGACACCTATCAGATGGGGTTTATGCACCGAGTGGTATAATCACTGAAATGTGCAATGTTGTATAAAGGCCTTCGCAACTTTTTGCAACATATAATAAATGTCCTTTAAAAACGGGAGTCCATGTCCTTTTTGAAAAGACCGTCTTTTCACTGCCCTAATAGACTTTCATCAGAGAAAACTCCATACAAATACTAGCTATTACCTTCGGGGTAAAAGAGTTTTCTTTTGAAACATGACCTTTGCTTTTAGCTGTACTTGGAAGTTTCTGCCTCCAGGTGGCAGTGCATGCTGCGATGTGTATCCGAAGTCTTCTGTATGTGAGGGTTGGGTTTGTTTTTACTGCTTCCAAATCGTTGAGCTTCCTCACCTGCCAAAATAAACCTCAAGTGCTAAGGCAGATCTCTTTTAGGCTCCAGATTTTCTTTTTTATTTAGCTATGAAAAAAACAAAAAGAAAAACCTAGCTCAAAGTAGTTGAAGAATTTGACAAGTGCTATAAAAGAAATGGGGGCCACAAGTGAACGTTTATACTGTATAGTATTACATTAAAAAAAATACCTCTGTCTCTACTAACCCTAAACTTTCCTCTTCAAGAATTCCTGTCCTCTGTTATTCTTTCTTCTACCCTCACCACTGTTGTACCTCTCCCTAGACCTACATCTTTCACATTACCTTATACACTCTCAACTTTTGTTCTTGTGCTACATATCCCTTAATTCTGTTCTCTCATCTTATCTCTCTACCCCACTTCTTTTCCTCAAATCCTTTTCCGACAGGTGTATCAGAAGGTGCTCAGGTATTATGCTGGGGCCATCCTTCTGCTTAATTTCAGATAATAAATAATGAATGTAATAGTTTCTCAGCACAGTAGGTGTAAGTTTTTTTTTTTTTTTCTTCATGTGAGGAAAACCACTTGTCTTTCTGCTTAAATGCAATTTTTTTTTTCCAAGTGCAACCATTCTGGTTTAAAGTTTCAAAATAATTTGATGCAAGGTAGAGCATGGAAAACATCAACCTTGGCAGTTGGCGAGGAATATCCAGCATGACATGGAACACTGTAATAAAAAAGCTTAAGTAGAATTGATAGAAGATATCCAAATATGCTACTTTTAATTAAGAACAGCAAGCAGGTTACTCTAATTCTATTGTATATATTTGGCCTGTAGTATGGAGATGCACTGAACTTTGTATCAGTGCAACAGTGAACATGATAGGACGCTGTAGGATTAACAGCCTATGGAAGCATGCCAGTTTCCTGAACTTTAAGTGCAGTGTGCTCAGCAAGTCTCCATTGCTTTAATTGTCTTGCTTGATGTAGTTTGCAACATAATAATATGTTCAATTACTAAATAGGATAATTGCATGTGTCTAAATCTTCCTTATATGCCTGTTATTTAATTTGTGGATAGTTCAAGAGAGAAAGTACCAAGGAGCTGGAAGGTGTAACCGTGGCATGTCTGCAGCTCCAAATGTCTGAGGTGCCAGCTGAGATATGGGAACATCAGACCAAAGGTATGATAGATGTAACTGGTATGGTAGGACCAGGGTGTGTGGATTTTAGGCTTTGGAAACAGGAAGAGCATGCAGTTCTTAGCAGAGTGCAGAGGGGGAACATGGTTGCTGAGGCAGGAGACACCATGAGTAAATATTCTGACAGCAGTGATTCAGTTGTAGGGCATGACGAGATGTCAGAGCAATTTTTTTTTCATATAAACATCATCTGGTTTTGAAAATAACAAACCTTTTAATAGAATGGAAATATAATGTGAAGATAACTATTTATTCTGTTATGGAACAAATGATTTCCTTGATGGTGGCAGACATGATGCAAACAACTATTTACTTGTAATAGTGAATGTGTAAGACAGACATATTTCTCTAATGAACGGCCTGAAGAGTCATTCAGCTGCATAGCTGAGGCTTTTATTTTCAAGACGTTATACAAATTCTGTTCTTCAGCAGCATAGTTTGAGACCAAAGATGTTATGTTAGCCTAGAAGTAGATGAGAACTTGAACTCTGAAAAGGGTTTTAGTCAGAGTCTCAATTCTTAGAACCAAAATTATTATCCAGAAAACTTCTACTCAGAAGTCATTTAATCCTTGAATTGCCCTGATTTACCACTCACTCACTGTTTGACCTGAGAGCTTATACAGCTTATATGCAGTTCTCTTCTTTAGTATCCAGGATCACCTTTGAGCAACTCTCTGCCACCCAGCCTTGCTGAGACTGAAGAACTGTTCTCTGTTCCACCAATGGCTTCATTTGGTGTTAATGCCACTGAGCTAATATAGCTGCCAGTGGACCTAAAGACTTACACAGTCGCAGGGATAAACATTCCTTCTGCTC